CGCCTTCACCAAAGCCTTCACCCAGCCTTCACCCCAGCCTTTACCCCGCCTTCACCAAAGCCTTCACCCAGCCTTCACCCAGCCTTCACCCCAGTCTTTGCAAGCAGGACCTGGTGCAGAGCATGCAGGAGGCTGCATTGCCTTTGATCTGGAGGCCTTGGCCACCAGGGAGGGCCCAAGCCACCCCTCCCGGCCCCTCTCAGAGTTATCAGAAGCACTAGGTTGGGCTCAAATGCTGCCCTGCTGCCTTGACCAGCCACCACTGCCAAGTGTCCCATGGGCCACAGCCGACAGAACAGCTCGGAGGTCTCTGGGAATGGAACCCAGGGGTGCTTTACCCCTGAGCCACACCTCCAGCCCTTTTCCTTTTTTATTTTGAGACAAGGTTTTGCTTAATTGCTTAGGACCTAAGTTGCTGAGGCTGGCCTCAAACTCATGTCCTCCTGCCTCAGCCTCCGGGGTTGCTGGGATTACAGGCATGCCCAGCCCCCAAGCATGGCTGAGTGTCTTCTCACAGCAGAACCCCACACAGCATTCTCTCCCCTCATCTGGGCCTGGCTGCTCCTACGTGGACTCCTTTGCTGATATTCCAGGTGGCACGACAGGAAGCGGCATCGCAGGCCATTCAGACACGGACTCAGGGCTGAGCCACAGCAGCACCCGCCGTGGTCAGGGTGCCTGGCTCCAGAGAGAGCAGCGCCTGCACCCACAGCTGCCAGGGCTGGGGACTCATGAGTCACCCAGTGTGGCATCTCCCAAATGGCCCAGCCGGCCCTTCACATGGGACGCGGGCTCCGTGGTGGCTCAGGCTCCTCAGGTGGCATGGAGCCTCGCTGAGCCATCAGGGGTGCACATGTCTGAGGGGCCTCCATCCCCAGCCCCCGCGTGGGGAGGCAGCTGGAGTGATGGATGCCCACCGCCTCCTGCCTACCTCACTGGGTGCAGCCTTGGGGAAGGCAGGCAGCAGCCTTGAGGAGTCCCCAGGCTGTGGTGGGACACGGTGGGGCAGGCGCAGGCCACTGCTGTGCCCCGAGGGGGGAGCACCCCCAGGGAGGAGCACCCCC